AAAAAAAAAAAAAAAAAAAACTTACCACAAAATAGCGGAATAAAGGAAACAATAGAAAAGAAAGGGGGTTGAGGCAGAGATAAAGGCTTTGAAGAAAAAGTGGCGCAGGGGAAGGGATTGAGGTTGGAGAGAGAAAGAAGTGGTATTTAAGATTAATTAATTCATCAACTTCTTCAGGTAGTTTTTTTCTCTGGGTCTGTGAAGAAAAATTGATTGTGTTAGAAGGTGAAATGGTCCATGCAATGCGAAGCCATTGAAAGAAGAAGAAAAAAGGTTGGCGATAGTAATTAGGGTAACAAAATTGAATGTGGTAGTGGGAGTAGTAGAAGCTTCGTAGGCGTCGAAACGAAACGAGAAACGACGAAACGACAATTCTAATGTTCATACATACAGTGTTGTAGTTTAGGGACCAACAACGAGGAACGTCGGTTTTCCTATGTTTTTGTTTGGATCGTTGATTCGATTGATTGTTGCGTCTTCCTGCTTCTCACCCTCGTCTCCCACTAGTACTTCCTCCTTCTCCTATTTTATTACCATTCTTTATAAATATCTTAAACTTCAACCCGAAATTAGAATTAGTTCTTTTTATATTTTGATATATTTTAATGTATTAAACACATTTTTAGAATAATGATGTTAGAGTCCAAAATACACTACTGGTTTTTGTTAAAGATTATATTCGTTTATTTATTAAATTTTGAAACAAAAATTTATAAAAAATTAGACAAAGATTAATTTTAATTTTATATTTAATTTAAAGATTAAAAATATATTTAATTACTTTTTATATCTATATAAATAAGAATAATATTATTATTAATAATATTTTTGTTTTGCATTATAGTTTTACCTTTTTATTTTAAAATATATGTAATAATCGTAGATTTTTATGGTGATTTAATATGGAAATTTTTATTGTGTTTTTATTATATATTTATTGTCCAGATTTCTAGCCGTACCGATAGCAATTCTTAGTTTCTATAATTAGAATAATGATTTAGGTCCTATTTCAGATAAACTCGTTAACAAGAATTATAGAAAAATAAGAACACATACTTTTAGAAGCTAAAATTGAAGTGCTTCATAACTTATTTATAAACTCAAAGAAATGTTTTAGCTACTTAGATAACACAAATTTTGTTTTCATTTTTGCAAAATGTTTATAAAAAAAATTATCGGAATGGTGCTATGAATATATGAGAACATTTAAATGTGATTTTGTTTTCCTATTAACAAAAATATGGGTTTTGAGAATAATAATGCGGGTCCGAGGTCGCCGCTTTACGCGTTTTCTTTCTAACAAAGTGTGCAACGAATGACTCAATTCTCCTTCTCCGACCGGCTCAGCAAGGGGTGACCTGCAAAAAAAAACTCCGACGCTCAAGTCAGTGGAGTGTCCTTCAAGATCTTAATGTATTTCAGAAAATCCAACTTTACCTGGTCATTAGTTCTGTATTTATAGGCTTTGTAATTGTCCAGCCCATTGAATGTCATTTAATGCAATATATTTTGTGCCTCATCGTTTGCTAATTTCCTTATATCCAGCACAATCTGTCCGATATCACTCGTTAATTCCTCACCTTTATTACCCATTAATGTCACTGAATGCCTGCCGATCGTTCCTTCCTATTGAACGTGCTGACCGCTTTCTGTCGATCGTCTACACCATATAGTACAATAATAAATAAACACATTTACATAATTTATACATTAATCAATACATTCCTAAGGATTCACTCTATTTAGTCACATACTTACTAATTTTATTTCAAAAATCTAAAAACATTTGATCCCAAATATTTATAATAAAAAAAGACAATATCATGCAAAACCTTTAACTATTAAATGTTTAATATCCAAAATTTTCAAGTTTCTAAAACAGTTTTGCCAAAGGGTTTGTTTGCACAATTAGAGATTTTACTTGTCTAATGAACTCATTTGCTTGTATAGTAAATGTGTATAATTTCAAAAGCTCGTTAAATATATTAGATTAATCACTCGATTTATTTTGAGCAATTTTACTCTCTTCTTGTATAATTAGTTTAAAAATGATGTCAAATAATACAAAATGATTCAAAAGATGTATTATAATTGATTAATACTCACACGTAGTTACNTTGCACACTGCATAATATTACTGGAAGAAAAACATTTCATAAATACCTGCCCAAAAAGAATTTCATTCAATTCACTCATGGAAGGTGTTCTCTCAACAGCATTAACCTAAAATCAGATCCAGGAAAAAGCAAAACCAAAGTATGAGCTCCACATAAGTTACTGACACAAAAATAAATAAATCTAACTCACTGCAGATACTTCAACTAAAATTAGGTATCAGATAATTGATGCCAAAAAATAAATACAAAGAAATATTGATCCCTCAGATTCATCAAGATACTTTTTGTATACTAATGTATTGTGGGTACCTAATCTAAGTAGGTTCTTATTTGATAACAACGCTGTTCTCTTTGACCTATTTGGAAGAGCTTTTTTAATGATTATTTTGAATTGTAGCACAAGTACTTACAAAAGTTTATGGGAGAGCTAATGCAGATGGCTTATGATACTTTCATAAACTGTTTTCTAGCTTATGAAAACAACTTACAACTTTATAAACGTAGTCTGAGCTTATTTAATAATGGTGTTGAAGATGTTGATAGTAAAAATAATGGCAAAAAACAGGTAGGGGGGAAATTAGAAGTTCATTGTGCATACACCTAACCTCCAAGCCTCCAGGGAAGCAGAAAGAGAGAAGATCCTTGTCATTAAGAGGCAGCTGTTTTTCTGGAGGGTAAACAAATAAGACCTGGAAAGAAAATGAACATAAAGTTTTCTTGATACCAATACATCTGAACACAAAACTAATATTCAGAACAGCAGCCAAGAAATTTTGTAGAGTGGACACGGCAATAATGGTGTTGGAAGAAAAAAAGTGATAGGACACGAGGCAGTAAGAATAATTATCACAGTTATAGTAATGGTAATTCAATTTATGCATCTGATTATCAAAACCTGAGGTTCAAGAATAGGCCCCACACGGGATTGATTCTGATAACCAAGAGCACTTCTTAATTTACCAGGGCCTTCAGACTTTCTTAAGAAATATTGCGCTTGCAGTGCCTGAATATCACAATTAGGATGAAGTCCAACAACCACCATGCTTTCAAACAGCTTTGTTGGCTCCTTCCATGACCTATGGTCCTGTAAAATATGAGGGAGTCTATCAGGGTTTGGGAACAAATTAGTATGAGTTTATGTGCCGAGTCAAAAAAAAGGCACAAATCTAAAAACGTTGATGATGAGATTTAGCAAGAAGAAGAAGAAGCATATGTAGATATGATGGTTTAAGGTGAAAGGGAGGAACATCTAAATGTTCAAGTAACTCATGCTTGGGCCAAACTGCTAAATAAAGAACAAAGAGGAAAAGTATTTAAAACCTAGTAATAAAAATCCAACAGTATCAACCAACTTAAAATTCCTTATAGTTTACACTAAAAAGAGTGCAACAAACATCTAGTTCTGACTTCTAATGATTCAATAAAAAGATTTTAGTTCTACCATGTACTGTAACTGAAAGTTTGCAGCCCATTGACGCTTCTGAGTTGTCAGTATTTCGGGATTGTAATTATTATATTTAACTTCAGAAGGGCGAGAAAATCCTTTTATCATTTTTGTAACTTGATACTGCAGCTTTTGTAGTTGATTTCCACCTTGATCATTTTTTGATGAATATATAACAGATGGCCTTGGGGAATTCACAGCAGAAGCAACAGCTCTAGCCACATCCTCTGTTGTCTGCATAATAATTGAAGCACCCCATTTAGGACTACCAGTCACTTCCTCCTTTGACATTCCAGCCATTTGCATCTTCACAACAAACAAAACAATGATTTTGGTAGGTAAAATTCTCTAAGAAGAAAAAATAATTCAAAGAAAGTATCACTCAAAATAAAGCTACAAAAAAATCTCAAATCCATTACAAAATGTGAATGCCTTACTATCATGCAAGCCAACATAAAATAGTGGCAGCTATGAACAAATATACCAACATGTCGCCAAAAACTGATTCTTCATATGCGCAAAAAACAAGTATTTTTCAAGGTAGAACTTAAAAATTATTCTCTAAGCATGGCACCACGCTTAAAAATATGTGATATTGTGCCCTTCAAAAGTGGCATCAGCAAACTATAATCGTTAGGAACGAAAATCCAACGATGAACCCGGCATAAACCGGGTCGCCCACAGTAACACCATTTAACTTACAGATAAAACAAACCCCTCAAAACAAAACGTTTCCACATATAACTTGCCTTCAACAAACAGGCTTAAGTATTACAAAAAAATCCATTTTAGCACTCCGATTTTATACTCATAGCTCCTTCAAAACTACACCAGTAACCATCTCATGTTTCATGTTTACTCTGTCTGTTACACAAACTGAAAAACACGAAGAGGGTGAATAACCGATCCACAAAATGAATGACACAAAAAAAAATACATTTAATCTGATTCAGGAACCCCGAAGAAGAAAAATAATGAAAAAGGAAAAAAAATAATAAAACAGAGCAAGGTAGAAGATGAAAGAAGTCGATCAAATTGAACAGATTGAACATAAAGGCAACTGAAATCCGAAAACCCACAAGAGCAAAACCAAAAAAAAAAAAAAAAAAACTTACCACAAAATAGCGGAATAAAGGAAACAATAGAAAAGAAAGGGGGTTGAGGCAGAGATAAAGGCTTTGAAGAAAAAGTGGCGCAGGGGAAGGGATTGAGGTTGGAGAGAGAAAGAAGTGGTATTTAAGATTAATTAATTCATCAAACTTCTTCAGGTAGTTTTTTTCTCTGGGTCTGTGAAGAAAAATTGATTGTGTTAGAAGGTGAAATGGTTTGCGTCTCAGCGGTAATGTCTCTACGGTGACGAGGGTTTTCGTCCTTCGGCATATCAAGGCTCTCAGTTTCGATTGGGGATTTTTGGGATTGTTCATGTAAGCTTCTCTGCAGGTTAGGGATATGATATTGGATGGTCTGTTGTTGTGTTTGGATGATGCAAGGATTGATTGCAAAATGTGGTTGAAGAGATGGTGAAAATGTGACCGCCGGCGGGTGGCGGTCATGATGGACCCTATAATTTGAAGATAAGTAAAACCCTTTTGCCATGTCATAATGTCTTAAATTAAATAAAAATTCTACGTAATCAAATACTTTGACATCAGCGTGCAACACGTCATCCGCTATTAACGCCGTCTGTTAAGATTTAATGGACAAGACTTAATTGGCTAAATTTTACAAATATTTGGACCAATTAGCTTAATTTTACAAATATTATGACCCAATTGAGACAGTTGCAAATATGAGGACCCACTTGAGATTTCCATATAAATAAGAGGATCATCCGAGGGTTTAAACCATATATATACATACACACACACACACACACACACACACACACACACACACACA